GGCAATAAAGTGAGTCTGTGTCTAAAAAAAAAGAAGAAGAAATAGCACCGCTTTTAAATGGGTCATTGAGGAAGCCCTCAGGGCACTGCTTGTTTTGCATTGTCGTGTGACTCCTTGGAAAAAGCCAGGCTCAGTGTGTGTCCTCAGCGTCCCTCCCTGAGCCTAGACTCTGGTTCTGATCTCCCCTGCTTTGTCTCCCTATTCTCCCTTGTGCAGAGACAGGGCAGGGCATTGTTCATGCACTGACCGACCTCAGCAGCCCCGGCATGACCTCAGGGAACGGAAACTCTGCCTCCAGCATCGCCGGCACTGCCCCCCAGAATGGTGAGAATAAACCACCACAGGCCATTGTGAAACCCCAAATCCTGACGCATGTTATCGAAGGGTTTGTGATCCAGGAGGGGGCGGAGCCTTTCCCGGTACGGACTACTTCTTTTCCCCTCTATTTTTTTTTTTAAGTATATTTTGGATGTGTATTAGAATATTTTTACATTTCCATGTAAAATTTCTGAAAATGTGAACAATTTGCTCTTTCCTTGCTAATTTCCTCCCCTAAAGAATGTCAGAGCCATTTCTCTTTAGGATTGAGTATCTTTCTAAGGTTCAGAAGTTGGGGTGGGAGGGTCAGTGATCAAGAATAATTGGCAAGATCCCTTGCTTAGAAGTTTCCACACAGAGGCTCAGCTGAGTCCCTGCCTAGTGATATGGGACCTCAGTTAAAGGAGAGTTCACTTCGGGGTGTTTGGTGAGAGAAGATGGACTTTGGGAAATTAGAGCTCATTGAGTTTTGAATGCCAGAACCTCTGAATGGCAAAACTTCAACCAGTTAGAAAACAAAAGGAACCTGCACCGAACAGAATTCACAAGATGTACACACAGGAAGTGACGGTAGGGGAGTAGGGTTACAACCTGAAGTTTTTTTTCTGGGGGTAGAGCCTTGAAAGGGAAGTGAATGAGCCTGAGGGACATTCTGAAAGGGCACAAGCAACTATCTTAATTAAAACAGAAGAACAAAGGGAAGTGTGAAAGAATCCCAGAGATGGGTTAAAGCCTCAGAGCTGATTTTGAGTTGTGTGCCTGGGAGGACAGGTGGTGCTATTCTGTAGGTGAGCAGGAGCCCAGAGCCAAGCGCAAGCTAGCTTCTCTCCTGAGGAAACATATGTGGCTGTTAGACACACGCCATCTTCCTGGGACACCATCTGCCTTTTGCTCATTCTTTGGATCCATGATAAGTCAGCAGAAGACTCTGAGCTTGATTAACTATGATGGGTGAACTGCTCTTGTAAAATGCTAAAAGACAAAAAGGGTTTCATCCTTTTTCTCTCTGGAGGTTGTCCAAAGCCAAAGGCAGAAAAAATCTACCTGGAGTACCTTAGCCATAAGCAGTGCTGTTACTTCCTTCCCCTTGTTAGACTAGGTCTTCCCATTGGCCTCCTGGAGTAACACTCGAAACCAGCTGGTCTCAACAGGATGGCGGTAGATTCAATAGCACTCCCAGCATCACCCTAGGGAGACACCGTGTGGTCTGGTCACCAGGCTGCCTAAACAGAGGCCACAAAGGGAGAGCCAAAAGCATGAATAAGCCACTCTGGGATCCTGCCGGCCACAGAGGGTGCTGCTTTGTGGCCCCAGGTCTGTGTATTCCTGCTCTCCTTCATGGCTGCCTGTACCTCAGGCTTGGATGGGGCAGCCCTAAGGAATAAAACAGCGAGAAATCAAAAAATGGATGCTGAGTCTCTCAAATACATTCTCACAGATTCAGCTCCTTTCCCTGCCTGGCACCGTGTGAGCACTGGGTCTTGGCACTCGATCTGGAGCGATGGGAAACCTGATCTTAGACTCTCGGAAGAATATTTTCCTGACCTCCCGAGTGATGATCCGTTGGTCCTGGCCTGAAGCCATTTCTATGCTTTATTGCCCATTAGCACCTTACTCACCTCAGGAGCTAAATAACAAAAAAGGTGTTGAGCAGGGCACAAGTGGATGAAGACCTGGGGAACCTGTAAGCAGGGCTAGCGTCTGCACCTGGGTACTTTATGCGTGTAATTGTGATGAGGCTGGACAACAAGGAAGCATTTCCACCTGACCCTCACGGCTTCTGTGTCACCTGTCCTCTAGGTGGGACGCTCGTCCCTGCTGGTGGGGAATCTCAAGAAGAAGTATGCACAGGGGTTCTTGCCTGAGAAACTTCCACAGCAGGATCACACCACCACCACTGACTCGGAGATGGAAGAGCCCTATCTGCAAGGTAGGCATCTCAGACCCTCGTCTTCCAGCCTTCCCACTGGCCTGGAACGGAGGCTCTGCACGCTTCCTTTCTTGACATCCACAGAGCCAGGGAGTGTGTAAATATTTCCCCCAATGCTGCCTCAGCCTCTATCCCTAGAAAACAGGGATGAGAGAAATTGAGGGAACCATTTGTCCCCTGCTTCTCCAACCCCACTCCAGCTACCCACAGGATGCCAGGAGTTGCTCACTGGCAAGTTGCAGAAGTGAATGTGGGAGCCATGCTAGGCATGTCATACCCTTCGTTACGGCCTCAGGAGCCTGTGTGTGGGACTAGAGTCAGCTCAGAGCCATGACAGTCGTCAGGCAAGGGCTGTACTTTCCACATGATCCATAGGAGTGTGGCTGCTGGGTTCTGTTACCCAAGTCATCAGCCATCAAGATGGTGTAACCCTGGTATCCAGGGTTTTCTGCAAGCCTCCTGCCTTCTTCTACTGTCAGAAGAAGGGTCCTGATTCTTCCCCTAGTGTGTTTTGCCTCAGACTCTTGACACTTGGAAGAGAAGAATATCAGCTATACAAGGGGCATCACCAGACACACACTCTGGCACTTTATTGAAGGGGTGGGGGTGGTGGAGGAACCTATCCCTTCCGAAACCAATGATAAGGACAATTTGACATCTTCTAAGCCCAACTGCTGTTACATGTCACAGCAGTGGAAATAGGAGGAAGAGGCAGGATGTAGGGGGGTCCTGTGGTGGGGCTGTCTGCAGTCCCACAGGAACTTCTCATTCCCCACACTTAACCCATTTTCATTATTTTTCAGAATCCAAAGAGGAGGGTACTCCCCTCAAACTCAAGTGTGAGCTCTGTGGCCGGGTGGACTTTGCCTACAAATTCAAGCGTTCCAAGCGCTTCTGTTCCATGGCTTGTGCAAAGAGGTGAGTGGCCTCAGCCCTGCTCCATGCCCAGCCCATTCCATTTCCTTAGCATTGTGTCTTTGTATCCTGCTTGTGTGTCCCACCTCCTTGAAGTAATAGTCCACCTGGGAGGCCACAAGTGTGGCTTACCCAGCTGCTTCTTTCCTTGACCTGCATGGAAGCAGGAGTACATCCCTAAGTCACCATGCAGGTAAACCAGGATCCCTAAAGGAGCAGGTGGGTGGAGAGCAGCACAGAGTCCAAGGAAAGGAAGCAGCACTTTCACTTGGCCCTTTTGGGCCCCCACTGGCCCGTTCTTCCTTTCCTGCCCTTGGCAGCTCCCAGTTCGTCATGGTCACCTTCCATAGGAAGCTCTGTACAGAGCTGTAGCACACTAAGTACAGGGTTCCCTTTGCAAGCTTTCACATAGCTTAGAATACTAATGGTTGGCTTGGCACCTGTGGCTCAAGCGGCTAAGGCGCCAGCCATATACACCTGAGCTGGTGTGTTCAAATCCAGCCTGGGCCCGCCAAACAACAATGATGGCTGCAACCAAAAAGTAGCCAGGCGTTGTGGCGGGTGCCTGTAGTCCCAGCTACTTGGGAGGCTGAGGCAGGAGACTCACTTGAGCCCAGGAGTTGAAGGTTGCTGTGAGCTGTGATGCCACAGTACTCTACCCAGGGGAATAGCTTGAGGCTCTGTCTCAAAAAAAAGGAATACTAATGGTTATAGTAAAGGCCACTGTCATTTATCGAGAACCTGCTGTGTGCTGGACACTGCACAAGTCAATTGATACACATCATCTCATCTTCAGAATAACCACAAGATAGGTATTAGTATTGTCCCCTTTGTATATGTTAGGATACTGGGGTACAAAGGAAAAGAAGTTGTGCCTTACGTGACGTAGCTGATCAGTCACAGACTGGGGACTTGTCTGATTCTAAGCCCCTCAGTGGTCTTTGTACCAAGGGGAGAGGGGGATTAACCTTGAAGCCCTGAACCTCTCAAAGAGAAGAAGTTTCTACGTTTCAGGCAGAGGTGCTGTGCATGCCACACTAGAGTTCAGCTGTCTTCAGCACTCTTCCCCTCGGGCTGCATTTTTGTTGAGCTTTGCCAAGCTGCTCTCTGGTAGGAAAGTATAAAATAGTTTCCTGGTACAGGTGTTAACTTACAATAGCACGTGTAGCTGTGAGTTCTCGCCATGATCTGGGTGGTGCATCAAACAGTTCACACTCTCATGTCATGTGAGACCAGTATTAGAAAGTGAGTAGTATCACACTCAACTCCAGATGAGGAAACAAGAGATTTGGCACATAAGTGACTTGCCCAGAGTCACATAGCAAAGTGCTGGAGTTAGGATTTGAACCAATAGATGGACTCATATTTTGCCTGAGTAGCTGCTCTCATTCTGCTAAGGATAAAGCCCCACAACTGCTCTGACTCCTGGATTCCCTCGGCTCTGACAGGTACAATGTGGGGTGCACCAAACGAGTGGGACTTTTCCACTCAGACCGGAGCAAGCTGCAAAAGGCAGGAGCCACGACCCACAACCGCCGCCGGGCCAGTAAAGCCAGTCTGCCCACACTTACCAAGGATACCAAGAAGCAGGTGAGATGCTGCAGAGTTCCAGGCTCCATTCCCATGAGTCCCCACAAGCTTCCTTCCCATCCATAACTCCAGGCACTCATGTTCTGTTTCTGTGTGACTTCAGTACACTCATTTCTCATAGATCTGTCAGATCAAGCCTCCCCCTCCTTCTTAGTAGGTCCCTGCGTTTAGATCCGTGCACGTTTATGATGTACCTTACCCCTTCACTGGTCTTGCCCGACATTACCTGTCACCTTCCAGTTTGCCTCCATCCTTGACTTTGGGGCCATGGAAATGGGGTCTCTCTAAGCTATTCAGGTTACTTCTTGTCTGACATGGAAGCTATGTAAGAAGACACCCTCCACCCTTTACTTGCCACCTTTTTGCCCCCTTGAACACTACAGCAGTGAATTGTTGAAGGTCCCCCAAAGAACATGGGTATTTAGTCATTAAATAACTTTTTAGCATCAACTATATGGCAGGAATTCTGTCAGGCACGGAGGCTCTGAAGACACAATCTTGCCCTAAGGAAACTCATGGGCCAGTGTGAGGTTTCAAACTTTATGTGTATTTTTCTTGTTTGTATCTTAAACCTTCCAAAGAATCTGATGAAAGCTATGGACCAGAATGTACATAAAAAAGAGTTTACATGCTGAACCCCATGGAGCCCTGGTTTAAAACCCTATGTCCAGAAGAAAAGATAGACATGTAATCAGATGACTGCAGTACAGCATGGCACATGCGACAATGCTGGGAGGGACTAACTCTGCTGAGGGTTAAAGAGACAGCACAGAGGACACTTATCTAGGCACACAAAGATAAGAGGTAGTAAACCAAGTAGAAAAGGGAGAAAGACTTGCCTTTGCCCAGTGCTGCTGCTACAGATGATTTGTTTCCTAAAGAAAACTGTTTCTCTCTGCTCCCAGCCAACAGGCACCGTACCCCTTTCAGTTACTGCTGCCTTGCAGCTAACACACAGCCAGGAAGACTCCAGCCGCTGCTCAGATAACTCAAGCTATGAGGAACCCTTGTCACCTATCTCAGCCAGCTCATCCACTTCCCGCCGGCGACAAGGCCAGCGGGACCTGGAGCTCCCCGACATGCACATGCGGGACCTGGTGGGCATGGGACACCACTTCCTGCCAAGTGAGCCCACCAAATGGAACGTAGAAGACGTCTATGAATTCATCCGCTCTCTGCCAGGTAAGCCCCTTGGAAGTTCCATGCCTGCCTGGAATAGCAGGGAATGAGAGGGAACAAGAGATTTCACCTCCACCACCAGGCACTAGGTAGCTCAGTGAATGACTCAGGTCCAAGAACTGGGGTGTAGAGATGAATAATAGGAGGTTCCAGCCTGTAAGAGTTTATATTTTAGCACAGAACATAATAAATAATATTCCATAGCTAACAGGACACAGTGGCTAGCATCTATAAGTTCCAGCTACTTGGGAGACTGAATTGTGAGGATCATTTAAGCCCAAGAATTCTTTTTTTTTTTTTTTTGAGACAGAGCCTCAAGCTATCCCCCCTGGGTAGAGTGCCATGGCATCACGCTCACAGCAACCTCCAACTCCTGGGCTCAAGTGAGTCTCCTGCCGCAGCCTCCCAAGTAGCTAGGACTACAGGCGCCCGCCACAACGCCTGGCCATTTTTTTTTTGGTTGCAGCCATCATTGTTGTTTGGCAGCCCGGGCTGGGGATTCGAACCCACCACCTTAGGTGTATGTGGCTGGCGCCTTAGCCGCTTGAGCCACAGGCGCCGAGCCTAAGCCCAAGAATTCTGGGTTGTAGTGAGCTATAATCAGGCCTGTGAATAGCCACTGTACTCCAGCATGGGCAACAGAGCAAGACCTCCATCTCCCATCTCAGAAAATAGAGTTCTATAGCTATAGTTCCGTATATTTTCTGGCATGGTAAGTTGTCTATGTGAAATTCAGAGATGATGATGAAATTAACCTTGTCTGTTTTCTGAGGCAGGTTGGAAAGGGAGTCAGGTGGCAGTGTAGGAAATCTGTTAAAGAGAATGTTACAATTAGGAAAATGTAAGCAGAATGGCAGTGGACAAGTGTGCCTTTGGCAGAGGGAGCAACCGAGGGGGGAAGCACAGGAGCAGAAGTGTGTAGACATGCGAGCCCATGATGCAGTGGGCCTAGCACAGAGCCCTGGGTGGTGGGAGCAAGTGGCTGTGAGGGCCACAGTCTAGAAGTGAACCTTGAGGGGCAAGCTTCATGCCACTAATAGATGCCTTCTCCACTGTTTTTCTGCCAGTCTCACCCATACACTGACCAGGTCAGGAACTAATGGAACCATAGGCCTCTTACTCAGGGAATGGAATGTGGTTAAGAGCACAGACTTCTGAGTCACACAGAACTGGTCCAGATCATGGTTCTGTCACTTACTATGTTAAGTTATCCAATGCCACATCCTCCAAATTTGTTATCATAGAGTTACTGTGGGTAAGAAATTCAGGAGTGACTTAGGTTGGCATTTCTGCCTCTGGGTCTCTTGTGAGGGTTAAGATGTGGGCCAAGGCTGAGGTCTTCTGAAGGCTTTATTAGGGCTTTACTAGGGCTGTAGAACATTTCCCAGGTGCCACACTCACATGATTTGCAAGTAGTGGCCAGGTTTTGGCAGCAGGCCTCAGTCCCTCTCCCCCTGGGCCTCTCAGTGTTCTCAGGACACCACAGCAGTAGATTTTTCCCACAGTAGTGATTCGAGAGAACAAGGCAGAAGCCATTATGCTTTTTATGATCAAGCCTCAGGAGACACGTGTTGGCGTTTTTATTAGATTTTAGTGGTCATCCAGGTCAGTCCATGTACATTGTGTGAGGAGACTCACAGGGCATGAATACTGGGAAGCAGAGATTATTGAAGCCATTCATAGACAGGCTGCCTTAGTTCTCTACTAAACCCTGGTGATTGATATTCAGTAGAGAACATACAAAATACTCTCAGCCCCCCCCCCAAGGCCCCCAAGACTCTTCTATCCCATTAAAGCATCCGTTTGAAGCCCAGGATTCTAATTCAAATACAGATATGGATGAGGCTCCTTGGGTCCAGCTCCTCAAATCTGGTTCCTCTCAATCTAAAGACTTGCAAACTAAAGAGACAGGTTATCTGCCCCGCCTCCACAAACCCAATATATAATGGGACAGGCACAGGGTAACCATTGCAGACATGCTTATTCAAAAAGGGAAGAAAAAACAGAGCATGCAAGAGTGATCCGTTCCAGTTCTGAAATCTAGTAGGGCTTACGTCGGCATTTCCTGGGTTAGGACTCAAAGCCTGGTCATGATTCTCTTTCACTCTTGGTTCTGCTGCCCCTCTGAGTCATCCCCTCCTTTCTATGAAGGCTAGCCTACATTTTCAGCAGAGTAGTTTTCTCAGCCTACATCCTGCTTCTTTTTATTTTACATTACTACTAACCCTTAAAATCAGTACTTCAGTATTTCTTAAAATCTCTGTGGGTTAGGGTGGTGTCTGTGGCTCAGTGAGTGGGGTGTCAGCCCCACCAAGGGTAGCGAGTTCAAACCCAGCCCCAGCCAAACTGCAACAACAAAAAAATAAAAAAAAATAAAAATCTCTGTGGGCTTTCTGTGAAATCTTGTTAGGTGTCAATTCCATTAGACAAAAACCACACCTAGAATTGCCTTCAAGATAAGCCTTCATCTATATTTAAGGTGACCAGATTTTAACACTGGTAAAGTGGGACACCATTGACCCGGGAGTGAGGGGGTAGTTCTTAATTAAAAATTTGGTCTATATGGAGCAACAAAAATTTTCATAGAACACAAAAACAGTATTGTAATATATTTTTTAAAATTTCAACATAAGTACAATTTACAAATATACTTTTAAAAGATTATGTATAGTATTATTTTATTCTTTGGCATATTTCTCATTTGAGTGAATTTTTTTAGATTGCTGTTGTCGTTTAAAAGGTCATGAAATTTTTCACAAGAATTTGTTAAATTATATTTCATACATAAAATGGTTTTCAAAGTCTCAACACTTGTGATTTTTCTGATGTCCACACTTTATTTACCGTAGAAAAATGCGTTCAGTCGCAGCATTAGTTACTGGTAAGGACAGCGCATATCCTACAATTTTTAGTGCATTATTGTATGGAACATGGTTTGTTTCAAAATGATGAAATATTTCTAACCATTTGTTCTCTATTGTGATTTTTGCTGATGCAAAAATCAATTTTTCCTTATCAATATATTTTTTTAATAATGATACCTCATAAGTCGTTAAGTGTCACTTTCAAGGCTGGCTCTAGAGTTTTTGCTGCCACTATAAAATATAAATAATACAAGTACTGTCTGCTAAATTCATGAAATAAATAAATAAATAAATTACCTAAATTATCTGAATAGCTGATTTGTTGACATCACTTGTTTAGCTAGTACGCAGTAGGAGATGTAGAGGTGTATCATCTGAGAGACAGTTACAAAATGTTTTCGCTGTTGCCAATGCCAAAAAATGTTCCTTAAGTCCAAGCAGTGGTAGTCGAATTCTAACAACTGATCAACAGTGTGAACTTTGAAAAGCAGTTCTCAACAATTATTTATTATTAAAGTTTAACATTATAAAATTAACAAAAATAATATAAAACTCATATCCTGGCGAAATAACCACATGGCAGCCAAAAACCATCTATTCCCTTCCCGTTCTCCCACAATTCCCTAGCTTGTCGTGCATTCTTCCCAAAAATTGGGACTTTTTAAAAACACTACGAGACGTGGGACAAATTGTTAAAAATCGGGACTGTCCCGCCAAAAGCGGGACCTCTGGTCACCTTATCTATATTGGGCTTTTTCTGAAGCTGAGGGAAAGCACCCTTAAGATTCTTAGTTCTGCTGTTGCACCAACAGGATCTGTGAAGCTTGCCCAGAAACTCCTTGGATTGAACAGTTCTTTGAGGAATCACATTAGATCTGAGGTTTTTTTTTTTTTTTTTTTT